TGGAAACAGGTAGGTTAATCTATCATTAGTGTCTACCAATAGTTTAATTTAGTGCTGTCAAATGATTAATCGCGATTAATCGTATTCAAAATAAAAGTTTTTGTTGACAAAATATGTGTACTGTATATTTATTATGTATATATAAATACACACACATGCATGCATGTATATATTTAAGAAAAATATGTTATGTTTATATATTAAATATATTTATAAATAATATAATAATTAAATGATTATTAATTATAATATAAATTATATGAATAATATACATATATGCATGTAAATATTTTCAAAATATATACATGCATGTGTATTTATATATACAAAATAAATATACACAGTACGCACACATATATTATGTAAACAAAAACTTTTATTTTGGATGCGATTAATCGTTTGACAGCACTACTATCATTTATTATTAATAATAAGTAGTTTCATTACTAAAAATAATATAAATACATGTAAATTATTATTCATTTTTAATATTATTTTCTTTTTTATTTTATTGATTACATAAGGCTTTTACTGCTTTAATTAATGATCTATAATTTACATAATCAATCGATAATTTTCTTAACATAGTACAAATGTTCTCTTTCTGTTCCAGTCAGTTCTTAGTAATTACCATTAATTAAAACACACTTAGTCTCATGTTTTGCTCCAGATTACTGTAACAGGATTTGGGTTTTGATTTGATTTATTTTTTTTCGTCTGTAGTGCCCGGCGGAGGTCTAACCCCAGTTCTGTCCACTCTCACTCCAGTATATTTGAGTTTTATTGTTTTAATCAAGGGTTTTCAGAGCTTTTAAGACCATGTACGCACCCCCGGGAACTGCTGCTCCTGGAAACCGGAGGAGGAGAAGTGGAACGGCTCTACCCAAACAACCAGAGCGGAGTTTAGCATCCGCGCTGCCCGGGGCGCTTTCCATCACGGCACTCTGTACAGCCCTGGCAGAACCAGCCTGGCTCCACGTCCATGGAGGAACCTGCCCCAGACAGGAGCTCGGTGTCGCAGACGTCCTGGGATATATAGATGACAAACTCATTGGGGGTTGGTATCCCAAACTGAGATAGATTGGGGTCTGTAAGGTTTTTGAAAGAAGTCTCTTCTGCTCACCTGGCTGCATTTATTTGATCAAAAAATACAACATTAGTAATGGTAAATTTGAAACAACCGTCTTCTATTTGAATAGATTTTACAATGTAATTTTTTGCTGTGATTCAAAGCTGAATTTTAAAGGGGTCATATAATGCTACATGCACTTTTACAAGTTGTTTGAACTGAAATGTGTGTTGGCAGTGTGTGTACACAACCACCCTATAATGATAAAAATCCACCCAGTGTTTTTTTGTTAATCTATTAAAATCTTTATCCCTTTCTCAAATCGAGCCGATCTCCAGTCTTCAGTGTCACATGATCCTTCAGAAATAATTGTAATATACTCATTTGCTCAAGAAACATTATTTTGCTGCTTAAGAAACTTCTTATTAATATCAATGTTGAAAACAGCTGCGCTGCTTCATATTTTTGTGGAAACCGCAAACTTTTTGAATGGTAGTGTGCATAGATTACAATTTGAAGTTGAAATGGAGTTCTTCTACTTGCATTTTTAATGATAAACTGTTTTGTTCATTCTCTCTCTCACAGATTACTGTATCAACTCTCAGTCCATCCTGCTCTTGCGGGTCATTGCTGCTTTCTGTTTCTTGGGCATTCTGTGCAGCCTCACGGCATTTCTGTTGGATGTCTTTGGACCTAAACACCCAGCCCTCAAGATCACACGCAGATACGCTTTCGCTCACATCCTCACAGGTACGCATTCATGAAGGATTTACTTCTTAATATAAATATAGTTATTTTTTTGTAGCATTAAATGTACAGTTCATCCAAAAATGAAAATGCTGTCATCATTAACTCAAACATCATTAACCAAAACTATTAGACTATAATTAATAAAACCTGAGAGGTTTCTGTTCCTCTATTGAAAGTCGTGGTCACCAAAAGTAAAAAAAAATTCACAAAGGTCATAAAGGCATAATCAAATTTGTGGTGTTCCTGATCAAAATTGACCAGCCTACAAAACATTGCTTATAAATCTCTCATTATCAAATCTTGGATTCAGTCTTTTTGTCAACTTGTTTTTTCCAACTAGTTTCAACTATTAATAAGTTTTGGATTTCATTTTGGAACTGACTGATCGTGGGCCTCATTGATCTGAGCTTATGCACCTCAGTTTTTAAGTGAACATTGCCAAAATTATCCACAAAAATGCTTTTTTTTTTCACTCAAAAAATGAGGTGCATAAGCTCAGATCAGTCAGTTCAGAGAAGAAATACCTAACGTGTGCTAATTGAAAGAAAATAAGCTGACAAAAAGATTGAATCCAAGATTTGTTGATAACATAGCGTAATGAGGGATAGGCTATATAAGCAATTTTTGATGGGAACACTAAATTAGGTAAAGGATTTTCAGCACAGTTTTTTGAGGAGAAGTATCCCATTAATGTCTTCATGACTCTGTATTGCAGTGCTCCAGTGCGCTACAGTGATCGGCTTCTGTTACTGGGCCTCGGAACTGATTCTGTCCCTGCAGCAGCAGCACAAGAAGTACCACGGCTCGCTCATCTACGTCACTTTTGCCATCAGCTTCTACCTGGTGGCCGGTGCAGGCGGAGCCT